TGGATTTAGCTCGTGCCTCAGTTTTACTTTTGAATTTTTCCTCGAGACCTGTTCCTTCTAATGCCAAAAGAGAACTGGAACTGGGATCCGCCTACATACAGCGGCCTGATTAGGGACCATAGAGGTCTGTTCGATTAGCTCTATTCTTATTGCTCTGATTTTTCTCTGCATAAGGACATCTTGATGATCTGATCTAAAATGTAATGCTAGTCCCTGGGTAACATTTCAAAGGTTAAATGAAATCTTACTGCACTATGTGTAGGCATACTCTTGAGTTGTGCTCATTTTTATGCCCCTTCGTCTTCGTTTTCATATTCTTTCTTGTGCTGTGATCACTGGATCATTCAAAGGCTGGTCGAAAACTTCTTTTGCTTAAAGGCCTTGTCATTACCTCCGTGTCACGACCGATACGTTTCTCCTGACCATTTCACTATTTCCATCATTTTCTGTACTCTTAATTTTTCCCCAAATTGACATTATGCGATATATATAGTTTATCATTGCTAGTTTTAGCTAGGCTTATAGTGGATTTACCCATAATAAATTTGTTGATTGATTTCATTTTGCCATAATTCTCAAAATACAGCCCTTATTCAGGCTATACTGAAGTTTCGACGTCTTAGCATCATGTGCAGAATTCTAATCGGGATTGTGCGAGGTTACATGCAAACATGTTACCCACCCTAGATCAATTGAATACATTTTTTTAAAGAAAAAGAAAATAATCAGCGCTGCTACTAGCCCTGCATGTCTGGTTCCTATAAGCACATTTTCTCTCAAGAATTCGTATAAAAATTTGACTGACGTCCATTCAAATTGTGAAAATTTGGTAATTTATCGAAGGTATGAAGACCAAGATGATGTGGCCTTTTGTGTGGTCGCAGCCTACTTTCTTTGGGTATAGGATTTTTGACCTTGTTTTCGCAACATGTTGATATTGGTAGGAAGACTCATAGGAATGCACCTAGCCTGGAGTTCATTGTCTGCATGATCATTTCCAAAGTTGAACTGTGGACATAGTACATTCCCAAACGTTTCGCCGGCATCGTAGTCGGCATCGTCAGTGAGTATCGCCATCCTTAGCACCATTCAACAACTCGTCAAAGAGACAAATAAAGCCGATCCTTTGACCAAACGTATGCTAAACAATTATGGTATCTCCCCTTCTGTCCTGAGTTAATCGCGTTTCCGCTAGCATCCTATCATGCCTTCACTATTACAATTTTTACCGTGTTTATTTAAATTGTGTGGTGTGCTCCTATGGGCGACATGAAACCTTCACACTCCAACTATCGTTCTCACCCCCTTCATCCTTGTGTAGGGAATTTTGATCAGAGTCTGCTTTATTATTATGGAGTCCTCTTTCCTAGTCTTATCCCAGATCTTTCTTGCTCCTTAAAATCCGTCTGCTCTACCCCATGTTCACCTATTTCACTCGACTCCTGCCACCACATCTGTCCTACTCGAGGCGTTATTCGCCCTCACCTGCATCTGGGTGACTAATTCGAGGCGCAAGCCTCTGAGTGTCATCGTCACCCCTTTGCTACATGTACCACGTTTCTGGTACAACAGGCCTAGCGTCAGCCGACTAGCTCCGGTCCCCGCCGTCTCTATCCTGTTTCTATCCCTAACTCCAAGTCTATGATTTACCAAGCCCTAGTCTCTTGTGTGCCAACCCACAAATGTTGTGGTACAGCTTGTTTTGATTTGGTTCAATGTTGAACCACAACATTTGTGGGTTGGGCAACAAGAGACTAGGGCATAGGACGTAATGGGCTTGGTATTATAGATAAAAACAGGATAGAAACAGGATTGAAACAGTGGAAGCTAGAGCTGGTTGGCTAAAAATAGTTGTAATTCAAGGATCACGTTTAAGATTAAACAAGTCTATTATTAGCCAATTAGCTTTGTTCTCTACCTTCTCTTTCCTGTTTCTATCTATACTTCCATGACTATCACCTCCTATCTACTAGTCTCTTGTGTGTCAACCCACAAATGTTGTGGTTCAACATTGAACCAAATCAAAACAAGCTGTACCA